TTATTACAGAATTAAAAATTCAGAAATTTTCAATATTAATTGATGAAAGCACGACTATATGTTTTATATATAATGTTCTTGTTTGAATACTAGTAAGGTTTTCTGCAGTTTTTCTTACTCTCGCAACAAATGTTTGTATTCATGTAATAAATCGGCTGCAGATGTACAAAATAATAAAAAAATATATATTCATTTATTTCCATGTAAATATGTTATTTCTTTTAAAAATATCCTCTTCCTGTAATTTCTACCGTATTTCAATTGTCACGGGGGTCTAACGATACCCCATATTTGAGTGAAGTATATACGTTACTGAGGATTAGGTAGTGCGCATGCGTGGGAAAAATCCCACGTCCTGGCATCACTGGTTCTCCACTGTTCTCACTCACATGGTGGATGCATAAAACGTAAGTATAGTGACACTTGTAAAATTGATTTAAAATCAATTTGTTTCATAATAATCTCAACATTAATATCGAAATCGTCTCTGTTTGTCACTTTATTTCGTAATCAAATAAAGAGTAAAGAAATTGTCAAAACGTTTAAAAAGAATTGTTTATACAATTTCTTGTTTTTCTTAATAAGAGATATTTATTTTTAAACATTGGATATGTAATAAAACTACTTAAAGTTTCAGAATTATTTACTTCTTAGAGAAAATTCGTGAATTATTTATAAATTCCATATTTCACGAAAGGGCGAAAATAAACCGTTTACTCTCTGTTTGATTACGAAATAAAGTGACAAACGGAGACGATTTTGATATTAGTGTTGAGATTATTATGGAACAAATGGATTTTAAATCAATTTTACACGTGTCACAATACTTACGTTTTCGGCATCCGCCATGTGAAGGAGAACAGAACGCAAGTTACAGATGGTGTGAATTGCTATTTGCGAATTACGTGTGATTTGATCACATTCGTTCCTAATCACGGTGATTTTTCGTAATCGTTACTAATTGGTGGAGAAACATAACAGTACTTTATACGCGACTCATAACCTGTATATTTTACATTTATATTAACTACATCGAACCAAAAATTTGAGTTAAATCGTATAAAGAGAATGAATAAGTAGAAACAATGAAGAATAATGAATAAATTAATGATCATAAATTATAATCTACATGTTACCTAGCAAATCATTCTTTTACTATGTCTTGTTTCTTCTACAGAGTTTTAAAAATACATAATTCATCGTAAAGTCATATTGATTACGTTTTTCTGTTTAAACATCAAGGACTTACGATCGCAGTGATCAAATTCACTCAAGATAAAAAAATCGCAACCTCGTTCGTGACTTGGCGATCACTGTCATAAATGTATGTATGTATGTATTTATTGAAGACCCTAGGCTTTACTCAAACCCATGGATCTAAATATTACAGGAATAATCACATATGTACAGTAATTTTATATGTTAATGTTATAAATAAGAAGAAATTAGTGATTTTGCACGCCATCTCTAAACGCAAAATACAATTACAAAATAGGCATATATGTCTATGATTACAAATGACTATGACTATAAACTACAAGAAACACCGCCTTCACTGCTTGTACTGTTGCGGCCTTTTCCAGGGATTTCTTTTAGAGGAGATAAATCAGGCGTAAATCCTCGCCCGTGGAGCCCTGAAAAACTCTGCTCGTTAGGAAATTTTGGACTTCTTTTAAAGACAATTTTGATTTGAAAAAAACATCTTTATTGATCGAGGTTCAATACTGGAATGGACTCTTTTACAAAACGATCGTTTTTGTTACATTTTGTTAATTACAATATGTCCTTAGATATCAGGAGCCAATAAAATAGTTATTAGATTATGAAATAATTTCTGATTTGCTAATACATTTCTTTCAGCTATTCATTTTATAATTTTCAAGTGTTTAACATATTTGCCATGATTTAATATATGTTAGAGAAGGAGTAAAAGTGAAATTCGACTGTTAAAACATTCGTTCCTAAGCAAAAGTTAATTAATTGAAATATGCATTTAAAAAGAATACAAAGCTGATTTCAGTTGTTTCTAAATAATGCCAACTTCACTTCTACCTCGTTTTCTAATTACAATCATATACCTCAACTTGAATTTCACGCTTGTGAAGCTTACGCTGGACGCCACTACAAGATGAGGGCGAATTTCACAACAGTACACCCACTAACAAAACAGAATCATGAAGACAATTTAACATTTTTTATTAATACAATTTTTATATATAAATGAATATGTTGACCTCAATGATTTTTAATATATTTTAATATCTAAATTTAACAATACACTTAAACATAAAAGAACTAACAAACATCAGGCTGATGTTTTCTAAATTACAGTATCCGCATTGTTTAAAACTGTGAAGTGCTCAAGTTCAACATAATGAATTACAGTATCAACAATAAACGTTCAACGCGTTAATTGCTCGATGTCTATAATTCCTACGAGGCTAAAATACACTTGTTAACAAATTTAAAATTGTATAAACTAATATTTTAAACGGTACCTCAATCTTATCGAATTTCATAAAACTTAATCAAATGTACTTTATTTGATATTGTACATTTATTTTTATTGTAAGAATCAGTTAAACAGCTTCAGATTGAAAGTTATGTCTGCAATATGCAGATGACAGTGATGCATAAGTATTTATTATTCATATATTTCCAATTTCTTATTTTAAGTAGCGCTTAGAATAGTTGATTAATGAGTCAATGAAATTAATTGAGCATCAAGATAAATTTTTTACTGTAAGTTGCATTAATTGAAATAACTAGATAAATACAGATATTACTCAGTTTTATTAAATAAATGCCCTCTTAACAAAAAGTAATACAGATATAATTAGGCAGCGAGTTGACGACGTCTCATTAATTCGTGATCTATTAAATCGGAAATATCAGGATGACGATGGGGAGTAGTCGTGCAATAGTGTACTGTTTGACTTGGATCCGCACCCGCTTTTAACAACAGTTTTACTGCATTAACAAAACCACTTTCTGCGGCTACTTGGAGAGCAGTCAAGCCCTCGCTGTTAAGTTTCTCTAACTGTGCCAAAGGCGATGTAACTAATAAAGAAACTATTTGATGAAAACCCCTCGCAGAAGCAAGATGCAATGGTGTATTGCCACCGGCATCTTGTACACTGGGATCTTCTCCTTGTTCTAATAATTTTGCTACCATGTCAGCATAGTTTTTTCTAGAGGCAATGTGCAACGGTGTTTCACCATAGCGCGACATAATACCAGTTAACGTGTGCGGCACAAGTAAAAATGCTGTGTTTAAAGCACCACATTCAAGACACTCATGTAAAGTAGTTTCTCCTCGATCGTTTTTCAATGATGGATCAGCACCAGCAGCTAACAAGGTTTCAATTAATAACTCAATTTCTGTTCTGTGATTGTTATCTGAAACGAAATTATACTTTAATTAAATAACTTGTAAAATGGACCAAACTATCTTAATTCTTACTTTTTGTTTTCTAATTACTAAGATGGTGTAAGACTGTGTACGAACTATACAAATTGACATAGAATTTTTTGAAAAGGAGCATAATTTTCATAAACGTACAATCAAAATAACCAGTTATCTTATAAACACAAGTACATATTGTGTACATAATACTCTTATAATATAATGTATGTAATTTAGTTATCTGGTACTACTTATTCAATTTATTATCACAAAATGTGTTGTTATCACTCAACCTTTAAAAGTTAGTTACTGGACATATATTTACAAATACTTTTTTGTTTCATTTAATGTATTCCAAAACTCTACCTAGTTTGTACACTAAGTCCGTTTAATTTGTTCTATGTCTCTGTAATAGATATACACATAATTCCGATTGGTAGAGTACATATTATTATCACATGTTGTCAGTTATATATTATATCTTCTTTAAAACTTGTTTAATTGAAATTAATGATTTAAGGGGTTATGCTCAGTCAGGAGACCAAAAAAAGAGTGTTCTTTGGGAATTTTTTTCTCAAAAACTATAAGACCTTTTTCAACAAATGTGTTTGTGTTTCAAAGATTGCAGTTTCTAGATTATAAGGTAATTTTTTTATTTAAAAATATTTACTAATAAATAAATGCTGAGCGATCTCCCGGATGTATCTTCACAAAAAGTGGTCTGCCGTGATCACTGTAACTTCGTAACGGTTCATGTGAAATTAAAAATTCAGTAAGATTTATGTAATCGAATAACCAATCTTGTCCTTGAACGTGGGGTTTTTCGAAATATTGATTAGGAACAAAATGGCGGACATTTTCCTGAAAAAGTGCAATTTTCACCTAAAAATTACTCGTTTTTGGTCAATTAAAAAAAAAGTATCGAACGAAAAAAAAATCCTTCATTCAAGGACAAGTTTTTCTGATTTGAAACAAGGCGCAAAAGGTTTCATGTAAATTGACACAGTAGTTTTCGAGAAATATTGATCACCGATTTGAAAATTGTAGTTTCGAGGAAAACGCGTTTAAAGTTTCAAGTTAAGGTTACACTTATATAAGATGTTAATTTTTTAACGCCTGTAACTGTCAGTTTTAATTGGATTACCTTGAAACTTGCACAGACTATTCCCGAGATGTTGTACTTAAAGAAAATGGAGAAAGTGAAAAATCGATTTTTTGAAAATTTCTGACTGAGCGTGACCCCTTAAATAAATTCATAAACAATACATTAAAACGTTATTGAATCTTTTTTTCTCCTCAGACACTAATAAAAGTTAAAAATATAACATTTAAAAGAATAAATAAATATTTCTACCGAAGATAGTGGAGGAAGCTAAAATGTGAAGTGCGCTACGGCCTTGATGATCCTTTGCATTTATAGAACCAGCTCGCGCTAATAAATCGAGAGTCTTCAGAGCCGCCTCGAAATTGTGATGAAGATTCTTTGATCCTTGTGCGTGCGCCAATTGCCGTGTTAGTATATGTAAAGCAGTCAATCCACCTCCAGCTTCTTTAACACCAGACGGACAGCCATATTTTAGAAGTTCTCCCACAAATTGTAGCACATTTCCTGGACCTCCGTTCAAAATCACTCTGTGAAGCGCCGTTTCACCGCGAGGAGAGCGCACAGCTGGATCGCATCCGTTTGCAAGTAGTAAACTACAAAATCATATATGTTCATAAATTATACTCTATTCTTGGTATAAACTTTCAACATTTTTCCAGATAGCATTGTTTATAAAAAATTAACAAAACATTTTTAAATATTATTCACGGTATTTAGGAACGAATCGTTTTCCACGTGTAAATTTGTAAAGTTAAGATCCAGAGATTCTTTCAGGAATAGTTAGGTATGCCTTTGAACATCTGGTTACAATATGGTCAGAAAAGTACAGCAAAACGTGCAAAGAAGAGTGGTTTTCACAAATGTTCGTATGTCTTACTCCTACATAACATGTGGTGGAACAGATTCATAAATCCTTTACAAATGGACAATATTAATATTCGGATATTTTTTTGCAATCTTTGCAAATTATGCACTGGAGTTAAGCAGTTAGAATTTAATAAGTACTCCAGTTAAAAAATTTGAATTTATACGACAAAATATCTTAATTATTCTTAATTAAAAATAAGCAGTATTTTATAAGTAAACAGGAGGTAATATAATATTTAAACAATGAATGATTAACATTCGCAGATAATTTTAATTGTAAATTCCACAGCTAGGCACGTGTCTTTCAAATATAATTTCATAAAATTTATAAAACCATAGAGTTCTTGAAAATCAAGTTTAAGATATATTTTATTTCTATAATAAAGTCAAAATGACTTTTTCGATGGGAGTACAGTAAAACAAATTATCTGGCCGATATTCGTGCTAGGTAGTTATTTTTTGACAGTGTATTTATAATCTATTAAATCAACCATTTTATTGTAAGAACGTCACTAAATATTTTATTACATACCATAGTATTGTTCAGTATGAAACAATATAAAATACTTTTACAATATGTAGTATTAAAATGTAGTAAAATAGACTTCATTGTTAAAATTTCTTACCTGAGGATAGGCAAACAATGATTGGTGGCGGCCACTAATAGAGGCGGATCACCTGAAACATTCCAATCCGGTTCGTCCAGGTTTTGTACAGAGTCCCTTGCAAGAAGCGCTGCGACGCATCTATTGTCTCCAGCACGTACAGCCTCGTGGAAATTCAATTCACTTTCCGGATCATACATTTCTTTAGAAATATTTCGAAAATCCGCACATTCCGATAGCTCATTAGAAATTTCATAATTGCTTAAAAAGTTTGTGGGTTTCGTAACAATAGTTTCAATGTCATTTTGTAATTCTTGCATGTTAAAAGTATCCTTCGTAGGGGAATCTTTACCGCGTGTTTCCGACGTGGTATTTGGAGTGTCTCCTTCATTGAGGAATACATCGAGTCCTGTTGCTACAACCACATCGGAACTTGTCAAATTTGCTACACTTATATCACTGTCTATCCACACTTCGTTAGTTTTCATTTCAGCAGAATTTATAGTTGTGTCTTCATTGGCGATTGTAGTTATATTTTCATTTTTCTCGGAAAGTTCAACAGCCACGGAAGATGTCTTGCATTCCAAGATAGTCTTATCTTTGTTTTCTACTTTATCCTTTTGTTCAGCAAAAATGGACGTATTAATCGATATACAGAGTGGAGGTCTTTCCTGATTAACTGGAATTTCCATTTGATCTTGACCACCTGTTGCAATCTTCATCACTTCCACAGAACTAATTTCTATATTTCCTTCACGCGTAGTTTGTTCTTTCTTGTTGCACAATGTTTTATTAACTGTCGTGCTTGTCTTCTTCTCGACGTGCTGTTCCTGGGTTATAGGATCGTTCGTGTAAGCGGCAGTCATTGTAACGATTGTTGTTCGCCTTTTAATTGAGCCTGATTCTCTGGTAATTGGTTCGATGCCTTTTAACTGAAGGACAACCTCACACCGTGCTCTAACTTTTTTTTTTAATACACCTGCTTGTTCATTCCCTTTTCGACGTCATAACAATCGTCAGTCATATGAACGCGATGTCTACTTGATATGTATTATAAATGTCCTGTGCTTGATTACAAACGGAGAAACGACTTTTAAACGAACTGACGAATCAAGAATACGTGACTGAAAAGCTGAAAACAGCTGAAAACCAAATGCGCCTGCTTAAGAAGCGTCGCTGCAGATTTCTATGCATCCCCTCTCCTTGCTTGTTCTGAACTTCCCCACTTCTTAAAACTCTCATGTGGCGCATCCAAGGAATTCATCGTATTTAGATCCGATACTCCAAAAATTGGATCCGACGCTTCTTATTTTACCTAACCAGTGTACGTAATTTTGTTAAATGTAATAAATGTTATATGTAATTAAGAAACGCAATTTTAAGAATTAATGCTTAACTCAATATCATCAAATTTTATTCAATATTTTTGTTCTTTGTTGATTCTTTTGGTACTAATAATTTTACGTACACGACTTAATTAACATAATTAATTTATACATATTTCCAATATGTATATATATTTTTCAATTACGTACTGTATTGTGGTTACCTTTAATAATACCCGTATAAGACATTTGCACGTATAAAGACGTGAAATTAATAATTGGATACATACATACGCGAATTTTGGAAAGGACAGATACATACATGCTTTCAAAATCAGTTGTCTGCATAGACCCACAGCTAGGGATAAATCGATCCAAGTAAATACGAGTACATTACTTGATACTTTTGTTTCGATACCGAGTACTTTTGGTATCGATACCTGCTCGCTTTAGTATCGATAAGTACTTGTATCGACTGGTACTGACCACGGTCGTATATACAGGTCCGGCAACTCCTAAGGTAGGTATGATCACAGCCGACTGACTCTAGTACTAGCCGTGTTGACGGTAAAAATGGCAACAACGCGGGCGGGAGTCCGGCTTCAATACCTAACCCAACCTACCATATCAGGCTCACAGGTCTCCCACTACCACCGGCCTCCCAGCTACCCAGTCTCCCTCTACAGGCCTCTCGATTTCCCGCTAATCCTTCAAATGTTTTTGGTTCAAAGATGGTTTTATCATGCTTCACAAAATCTCTATAAGCTAGGAACTTTATTGTCTTAGTGTTTCGTTCGAGTAGCTCGACTGCTCCCTATACCTATGTACTTATCTTATAAGGTTTATCGACGACGAAATCTTCTAATGAAAGTAAAAAAATATTGTATTTCCATTTCAGTGAAGAAATGCAAGCGCAATCTTGCATGCCAGTTGTAAAGTTCGGCGCTTAAGCCTTAGAGGGTTGGCTTTGTTGCTACTTGTAAATAAAGTATTTGGCAATGAAGATAATTTTTTTTATATCTAAAAATGTTGCTAAACATATAATAAGTTTCAACAATTTTCATTTTATCGTCTTTAAAAAAAATTCTAAAAATTACTTTGTTTTAAGCGTTTTACACGAGGATCCCCCCTTAACCCTTTCACTACTATGGGTGACTATAGTCACCCGCCACAAAACGACACCCGCACACGACGGGTGACTACAGTCACCGGTCACAAGATGCGACCTATACACAACGGGTGACTATAGTCACCCGCTCCAAAAATGGAACCAAATGTTATAACTTAAGATAAATGGTATCGCTTCGTGTATTTCTGTTCGCAAACAATTGCAAGCGCTATTGCAACGTTCGATTTTTTTCGACATTGTTTTGTCATTGAACGTGGGCCTCAAATGTATAATTATACTCAGTTGGTCGTAAGTCGAATGTATCAAAATGTTCTCACTTTCGGCACGGCGCTCCGTTCTAGACGAGGTACTCCGCGGCGAGGCCCACCGTAGCGAAAGGGTTAAACAAAATAAAATTAGAATACAGAGCCTGCAATAAGAGTTCTGTGCTAAATTTTTAAAACGTCTTAATTTTAGCAGTGAAATTTTCTACGAACTGAAGACTAGTTCTAAGTTGAGATCTTTTTACAGGTCAAAATAAAATTATTTATGAATTGTTATAATTGTAATTGGAAGAATTCGTAAAAATGGAAAACACATTTCGAAATTTAATGAACATGGTTAAAATGTATATAGTAAAGTAGTTCAATTTAAAAATATTTTATTCATTGTACAATATAACTGTACAAAAAATGTATGGACCAACAAATAGCGATCCTTGGATTTAGTCAAACAGACCTGTAATATAAAGTGAAAAACAATTAGAATCAATGCTCCTTTACATGAAATATATACATATATAACTGCATTCTCATTACTGAATGTCATCACGAATAATTGCAGTAGCTAATACATTGTATAATAATCATTGCATATAAGAAAATTTTGTTTTATTATAACCAATGTAATGTTAATTAAATAATGAACATGATCTTTACCAAAGCCCATGTCATCGTCTGATTCTTCTTCAGGTTCTTCCTTTTTCTTTTCTTCCTTAGCTGGTGCAGCTTCAGCGGCAGCAGGTGCAGCAGCACCAGCTGGAGCTGTAAAACACATGTTTTCATTTCGTTACTATGTCAAATTAATTTTTTATATAAATGAATGTCTTGCAAATTGCACATTGAAACAATGATTAAACAGTAGATTTTAATTCAAAATGTATAACAAATAAAACAAAAAAAAACCATAAAAAATCTGATTGACAATTCATATTAACACTAGAACAACATTCAAATATTGGTACATACATGTTGATAGGGTTGTCTAAAAAAAATTTAGATCATATTTGTAATATGATCGATAAAATTTTTTTCTACTTTTTTCTTTCTCCTCTATTACTGACCGGTCCAACAAATATTATTTAGATCGGTGGATGAAGAGGAATATCAACCAAATTACACAACATATTTTGATATTGATAAAAAACATTCTAAACACTTAAATTTTTTCTGAACAGATTTACCTTTATATTGGTCATTATTATACAACTATTACCCTCAAATATTTTTAATTGAGGTCCAATGTATATAATTGAATGTATAAATATACTCTACAATTTCAAAAACTAGAGATTTCAACAGGCACGAAGTGTTGAATAACGTCTTAACACTTAGCCAACCGAATGGGGAGATCTCCCCACTTTAAAGTAAGTTGCTGTATGACCGACTGGGAAGATCTCCCACTTTATCCTTAGCAATACGTTGCCTTCTATTTTATACATAAACTTATGTTTCGAACGTTATCACTTTAAAAAAATACTAAAAACGTTATTCATTTTTAATTTTGTTTAAATTATGTAATCTATCTGTAATTAGTGTATGATATGTATTAAAAAGATAATACCTGCTGTTGGTGAAGCTCCAACTCCTGATCCAACTTTCGTAACAAGTTCTTTTAAGTTTACACCTTCCAGTGCTTTAGCAAAAAGACCGGGCCAGTATGATTCCATATCAACGTTGGCGGCTTTCAGGATTGTCTGAATTTTTTCGCTCTACAGAAAAAGTAAGTAAATAATACAATAATCGTACCATATACTAATATTATCATAAATTTGTTTATTATATACTGGACACAAGACGTAACAATAATAGAAAATAGCATTTCAATCAAACACGTTGCCGTGTGAAATGATACATGTGAAACACTTACAGTTACAGTAACGTCATCGTCGACAAGAATTAATGTGGAGTAAACGCAAGCAAGTTCAGCCTTGTTAGTCATATTTTCTGTTTGTATGTTTTACACTAACACTGGATGAATGTTAATAATGGTGCAAGTCGCTGATACAGCCTTAGCTCCGCGAAAGAGAACAAGCACCCAACTTTAGTCGATCCAACGAAAAGGAAAAGAGAACGGACTGATCGGAAACCACGTGATATAACCAGGGGTGTTCCACTCAATACATTATTTTGTTAACACGACATTAGCACCATCTCGCGAGATGCGGGGATAATATATCAGCAATGGCGGGCAGTTCAAAATTTGTATTAAATGCATCCCTTATTTATTAGTATATTATTGTATATTTGATAAATTAAAAATGTACAATTCATCATATATATATAAAATACAATTTATTTACAATATTACAAATTATTTTTTACAATTACTCTTTTCTTTTCGTGCTAATAGACATCGCTTGTCGTATTAGTTCACACGTTGTCGCTTTTCGTCGAACATATTTCCCTATAATTATCTTATTTACATAATTACAATAATTCTTAATTATATATGTTAAAATATAATCTATTATATAATTAACTAAATCATCTTTATGATTACAAATAAAACTACATATTACATGTCTCTTAATGTATAACTTAATAATATTTCGAACATTATTTACAATATTAAATTTACATAAAATTAACCTAGTAATATTATACACTCTATAAATACATCTTAAGAAGTATTCATTACCCACATAACATTGAGATGCCTAATAGGTTCCTTTTAGATACCCCATAAATGATACAGATATCTGTAATCCTGTCTAAAAAGATATCTATTCGGCCGCCGAAAAGATATCGAAGGGCATACTTTTCGGCATCTTTTAGATATCTTTGTAGATGTCAATTAGATATCTGCTTCAGATATCGGAAAGATAACTATATGGTATCTGTCTAAATAATTCCAAAATAACTAATATCATCGAAAGGATATCGCAAAGATATCTTTTAGACATCGTGAACGACAACATTCAGATATCCTTAGGTTATCGTTTTGTTATCTTTTAGGCATCGTGAACGACAGCATTCAGATATCCTTAGGTTATCGTTTTATCTTATTATAGAAAGAAATGGGAATTGTAAATTTGCAGAAACAGTTTTAAATAAATATGCTAAAAAACCACTTAAATTACTAGTGATCCTTGAACATTAAATGCATATTCATTTAAAATTGTTTTTGCAAATTTAAAAATGTAAAATGATCGATTTTACTTCTTTAAATGTAATATATATATTTTTACAAATAAAATCATAAACTATAAAAGTAAAAAAAGTAATGACTACGTATTATAATTATGTTCTATTTGTTTTCTTGTTTTGTTTGATTTTGCTGAGATTCTGTCCGTGCACCGTCTCAGCCAGTCTGCAATAATTGTATGCACCTCTTTTTCAGTGCATCCATATTTACGTTGTACCAGATCTGTAACATGAAAAACCAAAATGAGAGTAATTAATTTCTAAATTATTAATAATATTGAAAATTAGAGAAATAACAAATTTACTTTGAATTATTGTGGGGAAAATCATAATATTGACCGGTGTTATATTTTTTGACAGTTTTGTTCATGACACTGATTTACTGATCTCATCAGTCATAGAGGAAATTGTGGCAGTAGTGTCAACTGCTGCTCTTCTGTTGCAGCACAATTCACGTTGTAATTATTCACTACCTGCATTAACAATTCATTCTGCCGACTGAGCAAAGTAAAAATGTTGTCTAAAGTAGCTCTGCATGCATCTGCATGGTAAAAAACTCGGTAAGAAATAAGAAACTTCTTAGATTACGAAAAAAACTTACTACAGCATG